ACATGCAGCTGGTATTTCTTTTCAGTCACAGTATCATTTTATTAATCAATATCTTTTATTGCTAGTGCATGGCTGAAGGGCTCAGCACAGTCTATTGTTGGGAAGTTGGACCAGAGGATCTCACTGCTCACAGGTCTGAATGTGAAGCATCCATACGGCGAGTACCTCCAAGTGGTGAATTATGGGATTGGTGGCCATTATGAACCTCATTTTGACCATGCTACTGTAAGTTTGTTGCGTTAGTTGATTAGCGCTTATTTACATGGTGATCGTGGATATTTTAATTGCCTTTATAACGTCTGTTTGCATTTCTGTAAAAACAGTCACCTTCAAGCCCCGTGTTCAAGTTGAAAACTGGGAATCGGGTGGCTACATTTATGATATATGTGAGTAAAGTCGAACCATCTATCGGCCCTATTTGACCCCGTAGCTAAAAGTACTTTGGCAGTTCTTTTTCAGCTGTCCAAAAGTCTAAATTAAAAATAAACACATTTGGAGAACCTGGCCAACTTGGACAGCAAGCCTGAGAAACTGACAACAGTAACTACATTTACACTTTAGGGATATTCTGCCACGCAACAAACTTGAAACAAACTCTCACAGTCACCTTCTTATCTGTCCTGATGCGGTGGCTTCAGGAAATATTTGGTGGGAGAACACATTTATTTGAACCTTTATTTGTGTTCATGTAACCGATTTGTCTTTCTGCTGAGTGCTTTTGTCCTTACAATAAAAGTAAAACTGGGTGGTGATTGAAAAAGAATGAGTTTTCAAACACTGCAGCAGACAAAGCGGCTTTTCATAACATGAGCACGTAAACACAAGACACAGCTCTGAAGGAATGTCCTTTTCCACAGCTCAGCCCCGTGGAGGCAGGTGGGTCCACAGCGTTCATTTACGCCAACTTCAGCGTTCCTGTTGTGGAGGTAAATACACTGCAAATATCTTAGTATCTGTTATTTTTATTTCATATTTTTCCCTTTTACACATTTAAATAAGTTTGGTGTCAAAATACTAAATGTCAGATCACAGAAACAATAGCCTTGAGATGAATTTACTACTTTATTTCACTACTACTTTACTTTGCAAAGTCAGCGGAGGTTTTTTTATCTTTTGCTTTTTGGTATGTTTTTCTGGTTGATAAATGAGCTGCAGTGGAAAGTTTAACAGGGCATTCCTGGGGTTTACTTTCACCTTTCTTTTTATTAGAACTTCTTGTCCAAACTTCAGAAAAAGATAAAGTGACCAAAAAAAAAAGTAAGAAAGAGAAGTCATACACATTGGTGACAAATTAAAAGAAACACCACCATAAAAAGTAAAATACTAGGCTCTCCCCCTTTGGTGTTTTAATTATGGCCGTGGGGAGACATGGTCTAACGTGGTAGTCCAAATCTACCACAGGTTTTAAATTTGGTTTGCTGTGGTTACTGTGAATGCCAAGCACGATTTAAAGCATTTTTAGACACAATAAACCATTTACTGACCTCTACGATGTAATATCGTCCTCCTGCGACTGTATTGACTTGCAGACTTCCTGTTTAAGGGGACAAGTGGACCATGTCAGCAAATGTGCTTTTTTTTTCTGTTTTTTTTTTAGCAAAAATGAAATACTTACGCAATAAAATACCCACTTTTTAAACTTGTTTACTTAATAATATTATATAGACCAAAAATTAAGACTATAGAACTTATTATTGAGTACTTAAAATAACTAATAGTTACTGACCATAGTTTAAACCACACTTCTTTTTTTAAGATACTCAAAATGATTTGTTTTGTTTTTCATGTCACAGAAAGCTGCTATCTTCTGGTGGAACCTGCACAGAAATGGTGAAGGAAACGACGACACACTGCATGCTGGCTGCCCCGTACTTATTGGAGACAAATGGGGTAAGACTCAGGTTCATTATGATGTGACAGAGCTGTGAAAAAGTAGCGTAAATATGGAAACTAGCAAATCAGTCACCATCGCTTATCCAGCATTCAGTTCTCCTGATATGCTGGTGCACATCTGTACCCCATTAGGCATTTAGAGATGTGGCAGAGAGCAGTTCAGACACTTAGATATCTAAACATCTGCTGATGCCTGGAACCAGGCCATCACACGTGTGTTCAGGACTCAGTTAAGCTGACAGAAAGATATTAATCATTGAAAAACAGCTGCAGAAGTATTTAGTGAAGGTGTTGTTTTTAGCAGCCATATATATCGTCAGATATTAACCTCCAGGCTACACTTTCCAAGTACAATGACTCCAAGTACAAGTTGAAAATATTCAACAGCAAAAAAAAAAAATAATTAAAACAACTTTAGTGATAATGTTTTTTTTTCTGTAGAAGATATAATTTCACATGATTTGTGTCTATCTTTGTGTTCCAGTGGCAAACAAATGGATCCATGAGTATGGTCAAGAGTTCCAACATCGCTGCAGTCTGAATCCTCAAGAGTGAAGGGGTGGAGCCATTGCTGGGCCCCTTTGGAGTGCAAGCCTTTGCAATTGTGAGCCACATTTGCAGGGAGAGAGAAGGAGGCAGCAGGAAAGTTGATGCACAAGCAAGGGCAGCGAGAGCCGGGGAAGCTTGCATCTGTGATTGGAGCCCTAAAGCCCCAGGGATCCTGGAGTGTACAGCGGACACTGCTGCAGTGGACATGGTGGAGGAGGAGGAGGCAGAGGAGGAGTGGGGCATCTGGCAGCCAGCCCCCCAAAGACGAAATGCTCTTTCTGGCCAGTTCCTGCAGATGGATAGAGGCCTTTGCCTTTGCACACTGTGCTGGCTTTAGTACACTGTGCAAGGCTGTTTACCTCCTGCCAGCTTTATACAGAGATCTTATACAGCCCTGTTCCTACACTGGGCTCACTCAGGGATCTGCTTTTACAAATCAAACTTTATTTTGAAATATAAATAGTAAATTAATAATAAATACTAAGTCAACAGAGATACTCGGTGTCTCAGAAAGAATCGGGTTTCAAGAGGTTAAAATCTGAGTCACCAGAGATTAATGTTGTCAGAGCTCAGGCTCGAAGTTCAGGCTGGTGCCAGTGAGTCAAAGGAAGTAGAAATTGTGAATGTGCCTGCGCATTCCCAGCTGGCTGAATGATGTGGTCATTGCTGTCTGCGGGAGACTCTTTGAATTGGTTGGATTTAACTGAATGTCTCATGGAACAAATGAACCAGCAACAGTAGAGAGTTGAGGTTCAGATTCTGCTCTTCATTAATGTTGGAACTTGTGTAAACTCACATGACCAATCCTGACTGCATACTATTCAGATATGAGTGTCTAAGTAGGTCATAACCCATCATAAAACAGTGCTGAAATTCACTATATGAGGTAGGAAAAGCAGGATTGGATGTATGTGACATTTTGGAGATGCCCTGCTGCTTGAGTGGCAAGGATCTCTGAATAATACCTTTGCTCACCACAGTGTACACAGAAAGTGCCTCCAAGTATATCAACCAGCCTGTTTCACATTCCTGCATGCACAGTAAAGAGCAGGATTGTTTTCCCAGGGAGATGATGGATAGACAGGCTCTACTGCTCTGAAGCTCTAATAACGCTTTGCTTGTCATGTGTAATTCACAGGAAATGCTCAAAGCAAAAAGATCTTAGAACACAAATTTATTTCATTTAAAGAATAACTAAATACTACTATATTAAAAAACACTGTAGTTACAAGCTGGGTTAGGTATTTAGATTCATTTCTTACCTATAAAAATAATCTAAATCATCTATTTTTTAAATTAATAAAAAGATTGTTTTTATATGGTCAAATCAGAAACATCTCATTAATCAGAATGGTTTAAAGTAATCATTTCTTTCTGTCTGTTTTAAAATTTACTGTTTCTTTTAGAACTGAAGGAGTTTTAATCTGCGCTCTCGATGTACTCATTATCACTGGTTCTCACTGTTTCCACAGCAAATATAGCTGCAGATGGACTTGCTGCTCTGCAAGCGTAAAGTCCAAACTATTTGAAGCTCACGTAACCAGAGGTCATAATATCAGGTCATGCGTAGGTCTTCCTCGGCACACTGTCAAGAGCACACAGTGTTTCTGTGCCTCACAAAACAAATTCTTCAGAGCCTTATGGGTCTTTCTAAGTTTTGAGAACTAAACGAATACTTTTTAAAGTCAGTTAGTTTGCACAACTGATGGAAAATACAGATAAGTAGCAACGTAAAAAGCAAATCATAGGTAATAACAAGTCTTTTTAAACTCAGATTCAAGAAAGGAGGGGGGGGGG